ATTTGTATTAATGAGTGTTTATAACTTTTTACTTGATACAATCTCAAGTATATCACCTCTATTTATACTAATGTCATTATGAAATAAACGATTAGGATTTTGCCTCCACAAATATAATCTAATGGCTATAAATCATTGTCTAGAAATTTCTCAAGTATTCTAAAAAAATATTCCAACTCATCCTTATCTTCTAGAGAGCTCCATGAATCTCTCTAGAATAGGTTTCTAGAAGTTGGACCTACTACAACACTAATTTAGGCTTAAAATTCTATGGCCCAAGAATTAATAAACCCAAAACCTCCTTAAAGAACTTTTTATCATGCCAACACACACACACCCATCTTGACCTGACACCCCCAAATAATTTTGTAGTGACAAAAAATACTTTTTGCATTATTTACCTTTCAAAAATTCACATTCTACAAAAAAGTGTCACTTAGTAAAATTGATTGAAATTAAAAAATTTGGTAGTTATAATTTTCGCAAGAGGCAAATTGTATGCATTTTTATCGGAATTTTGAAAACCTAATTTGACTCTTCACAATATTTTTTGAAAAATCTAATATTTTTTTGTATTTATACAATATCTTTTAAAAAATATGGTATTTTGTTTCTAACTAAGGGTTTTTGCTTGTAGCGCGACTTTCAAAAAGTTTGCACATTTCTATCTGATGTTTCAAAATATTCCAAAAACATTTAAAAGTATTGTATTTTCTAAAAACATTCAATAATACCAAATATTTCTCAAAAATCAGAAAATTTGGTAGATCAAAATGATTCATTTGTGTTTTCTATATCCTAATGGTTCACCTGCAGATTTTAAAGTCTCTAACATTTTTTATTATTTATATGTCGTAAATGATAGATACTTCCCTCTTAATTTGATGTTTTTGTATGGGCACAATGTGTTGGTAAACAATATGGTATTATTGTTGTTACTATTTGTTATGATACAACAAGTGAGATCAGATGGAAACATGTAAATTGATTATGGATTATGAGAGAGAAGTTTGTTATAGTATGAAAGAGATATGTCCATTTATGTTGAGATATGTGGCAAGTGGAAGAGGTTGGAAGGTTATAGTTAAGTGTGAGTTTCACAATCATATACAAGCTAAGGACTTTTATGGCTATGACGTTGTGAGCTTATTAAAAGATAATGAAAGAAAGTTTGTAAAGGACATGCCCAAATACAATAAGGCTCCCAAATATATAATTTCTTCTCTCAAAGATAGAGATAAAAAAAACCATCCAACACTTTAAACACAATCTAAATAACATCCCTAAGTTGTTCCAACAATAGTTTCTCAACTGTAACTCCATTTGACCAAAGTTCCATTTTGCTCACTTTTGCCAATGTTGCAAGAAGAAGCAAGATTATGTCGAAGAGTTTTTCCTTTGGTTCCAAGCATCCAAAAAGCTCCATAGAGGTCTAATGGAGGTGTCTCAAGTGTTATTTCACTTTTGTAACAAGGCATTTGGAAGTTGGCAAGTGAACTACAAGAGGTAAGCTCCCTAAAACTTTAAACTTTGTGAAATATGTTTTACTTTGATGTTCCTTGATCATGAACATGTCATATATGTCATACTTCTTGTGTTTGAACCATTTTGAAATGAAATTATTGACTCTGTATAGCTTTAGAATAGAACTTGCAAAACCATGTCATTTTAGGAACCACTATCGTGTTTTAAAATATAACCAATTTATCAAAATCTAAAACCACCACTGAATTCCTTGTGAAATTTCAAGCAAGATTGGTCTTTACATTTTTTAGTTTCATTGAGTATAGACTAAGTTATGGTTGGTTTTGCAAATAACACAAAACCTGATTTTCTTGGTCAAGAAACCAACCATGGCGCGCTTTGTGTGGTCTGGCCTCGGGTCACATTCAGCCTTATGTATTAACATGTGGTTCTCGCTCGCCCTAGTTCTTTTTTTATATTTTCTGGATATCAAGTGTTCTTCACATATATTATTGTGGTTCCCTCTCCTTTCAATTCATGTGTGTTGCCTGGTTGGTCTTGGTTTTGTGTTGCAAGCGAGATGGCATGGGTCTAACACCCATGGGTACCCTTCCCATTATTTTTTGTCACTTTTTTTTTCTTACATTTTTTTTTGCAAATTCAAATGTCCATAATTCTCTCATTTTTAATCATTTTGAACCAATTATTTTTCCAAATTGTTCATGATAATGTCTATTTTATATTTATGAATAGAAATTGCCAAAATAGTTATTTTTGATGCATTTATGGATGTTCAAAGTTTGTGCTTATTTTAGGGTTTCCTTGATTTTATCTTGATTCTATTGAATGACTTCTTAATTTCTCTTGTACATACTAACTTATGTGAACCTTACGCACCTTGTAGAAGCCTTGCATGACTTCATGAACTTGTGCATTGTGTATTTGCTTATGTTCTATGCCTTGTTGATACATATTCACATGTTTAAAGTGTATGTTAAGCCTTGCTCATACCAAGAACCTTTGCACAACTATTTTGCTTGAACACATTATGTTCTTTCCATGATTACATGATCATGATATGAATATTTTCCTTTGTGGTTGATTTCATCGTGTTTACGTGTTCTTATACACTTGAATTTTGTCTTGAAAATGACTATGAACACACACTTGTATACTTAAACCTCTGTGATGTTCTTACTTGCTTATGACCATGTTTGAACCCTAAATACCTATGTTTAGTTGTTACTAACTTATCTTAACATGTTCAACTTGTATCCATTCTTAAATGTTCAAGTAATGCCTTAAATTGTTCACATGATGTTTAAACTTCAAACTTGTCATTTTAAGTATTCTCACATGACATCTCTTGTATGTTTACACCTTCATCCACGTCTTGTTGTCATGAACATGTTCTTTTTGTTAAAGTATACTTGGTTGTTATCCTTACTATGATCATTGGATCATCGATTCATCTTGAATGTATATACTTGCTTGAAATTCTCTATAATTACTCCCATGAATTAAATCTATGCTCACATGTTCAAGTATTTGCTTAATAAACTCTTACCATGATGAATATATCTCTTTGTTTGATAAATATTCACATTACATTTTCAAACTCTTTGGGTCTCTGTTAGAGTGTAAGACACATTACATTTTCAAACTCTTTGGGTCTCTGTTAGAGTGTAAGACCCATTATGTTTTCAAACTCTTTGGGCCTATATTAGATTTTAAGTACCTCCCGTCTCCTCAAAATTTTCTTCATTTTCTCAAAACATTCAATCTTTCAAAACTCAATCTTCACCTTTCATCAAACAAAGTCTTAGTGGCATTTCATTTTTAAAACCTTTTTGGCTTCTATAAGAGTGTGAGACCATGCACTTTCAATTCATGTCCATACTTGTCATGTACTTATTCATATTAAGTTTCTCTTGACATTTATAACACCTCATCCCTAGTTTGAACTTGGTTCAACATTAGGGTTCCCTCAACTATACCTTAGGCCAAACCCTAGTTCCCTTTGGATGAAGTCAACTTCACCTTATCCTCCTCTTGGGCTTCATACAAAGACCCTTAGGCTTCTTAAAAGCATCATAGCCTCCTCTTGGGTTTCATACCAGGTACCATCAATTCAAAACTTTCCCTAGCTAAGTCATCCTCCTCTCAGGAAAATAAACCTTTTTAGCTTCACATCTTGGGCTTTAAACAAGATACAAACAAACCTTTTTAGATTCACATCTTGGGCTTTGAACAAGATACTCAAATAAATCACCTCCTCCCCAGAGATGAGACATTAAGTTATCTCTGTAGGAAGATATCTTTTCTATACACCACAATTCAAAATCAAACATTAAAAACTTTTTTCCATATATATGATTGATGTAAGTGGCACACTTGTTGATTCAAAATCCAAGATGGATTACTTCTCTTATCATGGTTAAAAACTTTTTCTTTCATCTAAGTGATGTAAGTGGGGCACTCATTGATACTATATCCAAGTTAAAGTCCTTCTCTTAGCATGCAAAGACTCATAAAGAAAGATGTGGCATTGCTTAGGATTCTTTAACATTCAAGTTTAAAGCTTCTTCCCTTATGATATCATTCTCAAATATTTATGATGAATAGGTGGGATGTCTCTCTCTAGAATGATAATTTGTCTTTTCTTTCAAACCAAAAAAACTTTTAGCTTCATATCTTGGGCTTTGAACAAGACACACAAATACCCTTTTAGCTTAAACATCTTGGGATTTGAACAAGACACAAAATTTACCCATAGTTAGGTGGAACTACGAACGCTCTGATTTCTCAATTTTCTTTTAAAAATGTGTAGGCATAAGATTGTGAGATTTTAGCAAGCACTTTTAAATAAAACCCCTTAGGTCTCCATACCTTTCATAAAACAAAAACTCCCAAAACATTTTATATTCTCATTCTCACAGATAGGTTAAAACTTTCCCACATCAACAGTAAACAACTTAAGTAGATGAAATAACAGATAGTAAAAGGTGTACAAAAGAGATTCCTATAGAGTATTATAGATACTCAGGGTGTTAATAGCTCCCCTTAGTATAATCAACCCCTGATTCCAGATCTATTTGCATTTGTAGGGAAAACAATTGTACGCAGGGTTAGTTTAGATTTCTTCCCCTTCCTTTTAAGCATCATAGGATAAATATTAAAAATTCGAAAGTGGCATCAAGCACGGCTCACAGGAATCTTACCATCTCAAGATATGGTGGGGTCACGGAAATTGATCCACACATTTCCATCGTCGCTTCCTATGGAACTCAGTGTAATACTAGGTATTTATCTCAACATGTTCACATATTATGGTTCTCAATAATATTATAACAATCAATTTAATACTATTCACTGTTCCAAGTTATAAGGAAAACAAGAAATAGAAAGCTGCACCCTGTCATGGTCTCCCAAAAAGTAGCCAGCGAGGCTGGCTCGCCATTGGTATTCCCAACAATAGTTACGTATAAATTCTCATCAATGGAAGTCCCTTGAAGGATTTTAGGGATGGTAGGGGGATGAAGCAGGGCGATCCTCTTGCTCCGTTCTTGTTCGCAATTGTTGCAGAGGGGCTTTCGAGTTTGGTGAAATCAGCGGCTGCCGGTAACTTGTTATCTCAATTCAAAATTGATGATCAAACCACTGTGAGCATGCTTCAATTCACTGATGATACTCTGCTTATAGGAGACGGCTCGACGTCTAATATTTGGGCTTTCAAGGCTATTCTGCGTGCTTTCGAATTAACTCCAGGTCTTAAAATTAATTACTCCAAAAGCTGCTTGTACGGGATTCGTGTAGACCCTGATTTTCTTGTGGCTGCTGAAGATTTTCTTCACTGCAAATCCAGAAGGTTGCCAATTATCTTCCTTGGTATCATTGTTGGCAGAAACCATCGTCGCTACTCTTTTTGGAATCTGGTTCTGAATTGCTTGAGGAATAAATTGTCCAATTGGAATGGGAGAAATATGTCTATGGGGGGTAGAGTAACCCTCATAAATTCGGTTATAGCTAATCTCCCTATCCACTATTTGGTTTTCTTCAAGGCTCCCCATAGAGTTGTGAAGGATATTATTGCGATCCAATATCGGTTCCTATGGGCTGGAAAATAAAGCAAAAGATTCATTCCTTGGGTTTCTTGAAATTCTGTCTGTAAATCTAAGGAACATGGTGGTCTTGGAATTAAGCATGTGGGCCGGTTCAATAGTGTCCTGTTGGCAAAATGGCTTTGGAGGTTCCACACTGGCGGCAATGAAATTTAGAGGAAGACCCTCACAAAAATATACGGCAACCTCAGTATCAAGACGCAAACTTACTTCGACGTTGATATATTGAAATCTGACTCGCTGTGGATGAACGATATTATAACTAACGCGTCCCTTAACTCTCATGCCAATTTCTGCGAATTCACGGCCTGCTCCGTTGGTGAAGGTATCGACGTAGCATTCTGGCAGTCAATTTAAAAAGGTGACTTGCCGTTTAAAGAAAGATTTAAGGGGCTATTTTAGAGTTGTTCTATAAAGTCGGCGATCGTTCGAGATATGGGGTTTTGGGAGGAAGGGCAGTGGACTTGGAAAATTAGAGATTCTTTGGTCTTCTCAGATTTTCCTCCTGAACCAAACTGGTTTGATTGTTGTAAAATGCTGGAAAATGTCTCTGTTATCCCCGACGAGTCCGATAAATGGCGGTGGCTGCTTTATGATTCTTTGTCATTCAAGGTTAGCTCTTTAAATTCAGTTCTAACTTCCTCCTCCTTTGATCAAGATATTTTGGTTCTGACTGTGCCTCCCATCTTGAGTTTCTCTGGAAGACGGTTATCCCGGAGAAAGTTCAAACTTTCATTTAGAGATTGGAGCTTGATAGATTGCCAACTAGAACTAATTTGTTGAAAAGAAGGGTGTTTGATTCTAAGCAAGACTTATATTATGTGTTTTGTTCTAGTAGTTTCGAGGACGTCTCCCATCTATTCTTCCCGTGATTTAAATCCACGTAGGTTTGAAACAAGATTTGCGAATGGGCAGATATAGAGATAATATCTGAAACTTGTTGTTATCCTCACGCGAAGGTGTGGAACTCGAGCCTTAGTGGCCGGTGTCAAGCGAACAAAATAAATTCTATTTGGTTTATTACTCGCTGGAGTATTTGGAGGTCTAGAAATGATTTTATATTCAATAATGTAGTTACTGAATTCGAAAGTATTGTTTTCGACATTAAACTTTCCTCTTGGAATTGGTTGATCCTAGGTAGGAAGGAGAGCAAGCAGTGTAGCTTGTATGATGGGTTCAAATTTCTTTTTGACTTCTTGTAACTGTTTCTTTTGGTCTGAGTTTTTCTTAATCTCTTATTAATAGATTCTGCTTATAAAATTAAAAAAAAAAACATTTTTGACCTTATAAGGAGATACTTTTGTGTTAAGCATGTAATTGGGCTCAAGCTTCTCACTTTCATGTTGAAAACTATGAGCCTATTTGATTTTTGTTTCTCCACCAAAATGCAAGTACAATCTACCAAAAGATGAAGTTGTAAAAACATGCCTTGCCTCATTGGACACATTTAGATAAACTGAGTGGCATTAAAACAATTTCAATACCATTCACAAGTGCATGAGAATCAGAAGCAATTCAAATTCTACCATCATTTTGAACAAGTTAACATATGTTAAAACCATAACTGTGAACTATGTTTTTTGAGGGAATATAAATAATGTTGTAAGCAACAACTAATAGTTGTAGATTATTAGATATATATAATTAGTTTATTATTGGCAAACAAAGATGTCAAATTATCGTGTGGCTCGCCTTTTTTCGTTCTTCTCGGTGTCTCTTCCCACGCGAATTGAGCATTCCCGACTAGCTACTATACCTGTTAAAACTTTATATGAATGTTACACACAAGATGATATACCTTCATTTTCATGCATGCGTGTATCGAAGAAATACCTAAGATATTGAGTTAATGCTGGCTATCTAATGCTTTCTTGTCAACATTCTCTCATTTCTTTCTCCATATGCTTCAATGTGGCACTACAACATTTAGGCTCTCCAACAACAATTGAAAAATGTTGCCAAAACTCTGAAAATTGTTGCCTGAAAGAATAGGGGACGTTTTCTAGGCGTCTCCTGTGCGAGCGTTGCCTATTGTCTTAGGGGACGTTTTTTCATGATCTTTGGGCACGATTTTTAAAAATGTTGCCTAAATAAAAGGAATAGGGGACAATTGTTCGTGACCTCTGAGGCGACGATTTATAAGTGTTGCCAAATGCAACTACAATTAGTAAGCGTTGCCTTTGAATTAGAAGAATTGTTTTTAGAATGTTCCCATAAAATATACAAATTTGCAATTATTTCTAAATAATATAGTCGATGATGATTGGTTTCAAAAAAATGTTGATTATAACTTCAACAAGATCAAATATAACTGTACATCCACAAAGTTATATTATAATAAAATCAAGTTCAAACATTAATTCAAGATAGTAGTCAGTAAACAAAGTTCCTAAAGTAACATTATTTATAATACTTAGTTTAATACTTTGAAATACGACCCTAGTAAAATAACAAAAAATATAATTCAAGTTTAATGCTTTCAACTACAAGTAAAAAAACACACATCATCCAACTCATTCAAGTTTGTCTTCTTGGAATTCATCATCCATATCGTCCTCTTGAAATTTATCTGATATGTCATCCTCCAGAAATTCTTCATCTACGTCGTCCTCTTGAAATTCACCATCTATATCGTCCTCTTGAAATTCACCACCAATATCTTCTTCTTGAAATTCACCATTTACATCTATGTCATCCTCTTGAAATTCGTCACCTGCGACATCCTCTTGAAATCCATCATCTACGCTGTCCTCTTGAATAACATCTTTATATATTCCTTTCAATATCTTCATTGATACCTTACTGCATAAGAAAATAAGACAAAATCCATCATAATTGTTTTTCAATAAAATTTATAGAGGAAACACAAGTTGATTTGTAAGGTTGAGTTAGAATAAATTTATACAGAAAAATCTTCAGAATTTATATACCATTAAAGGATTGCATAAGAAAATTTGTACAAACAATACAATTTGCAAAAATAGAATTTATACAGGAAATTTTGCAACACAATCAAAATCAGACCCTGCACACACATCTTAAACAATATTTCAGCCAAACAACACAACCAGAGTTTCACACAATCAGAATCAGACCCTGCACACACATCTTAAAGCTGCAGAAATTAATTTGTGTAGCATTCGAGTGTAAGCAAGGAATTTTCGCATGCAGATGGCATTGTATAGGTACGACTTTTATATCTCCAATGAATATTATGGCTTCAAGCCTTCAACATTTCAGAGGAAGTTCAAGCCAATAAATCCAAAAGTCAAGCTTCTTTCGAGATGCGAGGAGCTCAGGGCCTCATACCAAATATTGGGAGTAAATAAAAGTTAGTTGAAACTTAGAAAGTTGAATTATCTCGCATTATCATATGACCACTAAACATCCTTACTTGATGTGAACAAAACATTTAGTTAATCATCCCCAATAGAAGTCTTACTGCATAAATATAAGCTACAGATAGAGATTTATGGTTATGCAAATGCCAAATACTAATCGGATAAGCTCTTAAGTGGTCATTTTACTTGGAAACACATATAATTCCTAAATTGAATAGTTGCAATTTCAGAATTTCTCTGAAGAAGCTGCTTAAAAAGAGCAATTATTTCAAGCTAAGCGTGGACACTAAGTTTTGAAAAAAGAAAACAACAATGAGATCAATGTAAGCATCTACAAACCATAACCAGCAAAGTTCATAAGTGATAACCATAAAACATCAGACAGAGCTTCAAATTTACTTTTACATGAAAGGGAAAAAAACCATTGAAATTGATTTTCACTTAGTAAATAAGAAAACGACTGCAACAAAACAGTATCAGAAGGTGTCGATATCAATACTTATATTCACAGTTTTTATGATAAAGAACAAATTATGGTTAATTCACACGCAACACCTGTGTAGACCGAAATTGGGAAATCCTTTAATCGGTGCAGTCATTTTTTTAAACCTTGATTATGAGTTAAGAACCAGCTTTTGTGTTAGCAAGTTCAACAATAACTCTGCATCATTTAATGTGAAGCGTTCAAATCTTCTAATAACAACTCCATTAAGAATATACAACTAGTCATTGTTATATCTAACACCTTATCAACTAATCAACTAATTGTTGAGTATATTTATAAATTGCATGCAACAACAATTACGATCAGAATCTAACAATTTTAAAAATCTCTACTCTCTACAACCACATCCTAATAGAAATCACCACCACATTCTCCGATTATCACGAAAAAGCAGAAGAAAAAAATTAGTAACAAAAGCAAAATCCAAACAGAGTAAGAGAAAATGAAATAAGGAATCATCTCTGAAGCGAATGAAAACAAACATTAACACATTGTCCCAATTGAACTCCCTTGAAATGAATTTGGTCTCAATTATATCTTTTTAACTTTAAGCATGTATGAGACAGTACAATAAGATGACTATAAAATCTACTTATGTTAGCTAATGTCAATCGTCATTTAAGTTTTGAAAGAATTTGTGGCTGAAAATGTGCTTGATCTTACAAGACTTTGAGTGTGAAATAACTTATTAATTGCACAATCCTATTTAATAATATTGCAACAACTAATATACAAAACAATGTTTCTTACAATTTTGCTCAACAATGTGACCCTTGTCATCTCTCTCTTATATTATGGAGATACTCTGTGTTGTACATACATATCAAACCTATGGAGATTCGATGTGTTCACTACACACATCAAATAATAATCTAATTAGCTAGTTCTTTAAATCTATTAATACTCATAACTATACTAGTCATTTAACTCTAAGAATGGTTCCTTTATCATCTTTGCCATTAATTCTATGAATGGCAATTGAATTCACAGGGTTAAGAACTTTCATTGAAACAACCAAACAATTTTGTGTGTGAGTGGAGAAAGATAACTCCATACTATATCAAATCAAAATCCATTACATATCCTAAATTTTTTTTTATAAACTTAGAGTTAAGTATTTACTTAGCGTTCTGAGATTAAAAAACTTAGATTCATTATTT